GCTTCGTCCTGCGAACGCGTCGTTGGCTACCACGCGTACTTATCTTAGCGACGCACCAATGCACCGAGCCAGCCGGAGATGCCGTCGGCGATTGAGCATGCCGTCGAAGCTCTTAAGTGTAAGAAATCACCGGGTAAGCAAGTCGAAGGGGAACACCTCTGCCCTCGCCGAAATATGCGACACCATCAGGAAGCCTGGTCTACGCTTAAAGGCTCATCCAAAGAATGTGGAAATTACAGGAGCATAGCTTTAGGAGACCATGGACGTTGCAATATCCGAAACGTCGAGGTAAATAAAATAAAATATGTTTTACACGTGATTAAGTCCTGAATTTTAACTGCCTCCGTGGCCGAACGGTTACCATGCCGGACTGCCACGCAGAGGTCCCAGGTTCGATTCCCGGGCCGGGAGAAATGTTTGTATGGCCTACATTTATTTCTCTCGTGAGTTTGGGTGTAATTTGTGGTTGTCTATATGTGTGTCCATGGCACCCGCGACACAGGGTTTCCCTAGTGCGGGGCTATGTTGAGTGTGTGCGTTATTTATTTATTATTATTATTATTATTAATTCAAAAAAAATCAAATAATGTGTAAAAATCGTGAAAGTTTAAATCAAAGCATAGCTTTAATACGAGTATCACACGCAAGTAAGTTCCTCCTCCGTGTAATCAACCAGCGGCTTAACTACTTTCTACGCCGACAGATACCTGAGGAGAAGACAGGTGTTGTCAAGGGCAGAGGATCACGAGAACTCAATATCCACCAAATAATATAGAAAAGCAGAGAATTCAACAACCCAGTGGTCGTATACATTGTCGACTACACAAAAGCGTTTGACTGCGTGCAATGGAACAAACTGTAAAATGTGGTACTTGAAAGGGAGTTACTAAACACCTTGTCTTTTTAATCAAGAGTCTGCACATCGGAAACCGTTCTTTCATCAAGTTAGGCACCGAATGCTCTAATATTTTTCAAAAGAAAAAAGGAGTGAGACAGGGTTCCATCCTATCCCTGCACTTTTTAACATAGGTATATGGATAAGTACATCATTCGCAAAACCCTCAAAGACTGGGAGAAAGGTTTTCCAATAGGCGGAAAGAGAATATCAAATATTAATATGCCGACGATACCGTTCTTCTGGGAACATCCATCGAGAATCTGGAAGATCTGTTCCAACGACTAAGAGATTGAAAGTGCATTGGTCTGGCAATATTATAAACAGGGCCAAAACAAAAATAATGGCAGTGGACTGGGAAGTTAATAAACGCCACTTGCGGCATTTTTGGTATTGACATAGTCGACCACTATATCTACCTAGGTTCCCAAATTCGTAGTGACAGCAGCTGTTTCCCTGAGATAAAGCATCGTATTGGAATGGCAGAGGATACTATGACACGCCTAAACAACATCCAGAAGACGAGAGGGAATGGTGTCAAAACTATCCGATCGATACGTGCTTTGGTGTTAGCCTTTTTTTTATGATGGGATGAACAAGTCGTGCCCGGTGGCAAGCGAGACGCCCATCCACAACAGTTGCAGTACCACTTAGAGCTTTAAATCGTAAAGATCTTAGGGGCACTGCTACTACGCCGTCACACTGAGTCATAAGTTGACAAGTCCCATGTGCCTGTAATTTCACCAGCACCCTTATCCTTTCAAACTGGAACGCAGCAATGCTCAAATTCCTTATTGGCGGCAGAAATATTTAAGGTAGTACTTCCCTGGACGAACTCTTTCACAAGGAGCTCCACTGCTACTAAACTATTACTGTATGGTGTAGACAATGGTGGCATGGACAATTCTGACAAGGGAAAAATGAAGAATTGATGCATTCGAAATGTGGTGCTGGAGAATATACCTTGCAGCGCTAGACGTACCAATGTGTCAATCCTGTATCAGCTTCAAATTAAGACTCGGTTGTCCTGATTATGCAACCAAAGCATTCTTTCATATGTCGGCCACATGATGCGCTGAGGCGATGAAAATTTGGAGAAATTGATTGTAGTTAGTAACACGGAAGGAAGGCGAGTACGAGGCCGTGCACCAACGAGATGGATCGACCAAGTGAAAGGTTCATCGTCCTCCAAATTTTGCGCAGTCGTTAGGGACGCGCTGGATAGAATCAGATGGAGGCAGATCACCCGCTTCAGAACTAGGCACGAAGCTGACCATGATCCTCAGACATGAGAAAACGGGAGAGAGGGAGGGAGAGATAGAGAGAGAGAGCAATGCACTGAGAGAACAGCGAGATATGCATTACCTGCTAGAAAATTTTGTCGAGTATCGTGTACATTCTCAGATTAGCTTTCTTCCGCCAGCCAGGAGGCGGGTCGCTATCGACATTGCGTGTGCGCGAACCGTCGCCGCTGTCGCTGTCGTCGTCGCAGCGCGCCGTGCGGCAAACTTCCACCTCCTTCTCCTTGTCAGGCGTCTCGTCTGCGTACGTCGCACGCCGCGCTAGCCTCCGCGCCATCACGAACGCCGCCACCTGCGTATCACGGATAATCATTTTGTATCAAAAAACATGTCATAACTGCGTAACCAAAACATATCACTTTCTGGAGAGGCGTTGGAGGTTACCTGCAGGACTGCGCCGAGAGCACCAAAGATGATGATAACGAACGCGTTGTTCGGCGCCTCGCGTTCCACCTCCTACAATTAAAACAAATTGTATTGAGAGAGGTAAGGCAAAATATAAATAAAAGTCCATTGCGAGGCTTCTGCTCCGTGCCAAAAGATCCGTGTTTGTCTTCGGTTCCTTTTGGTGTGGACCACACACAATTTTCCATACACATGTTGCTAGTAAGGAAGCCGAGTGACGCGGCTGTAGGTGGACTGTATTTATGGCGCTATAGTAATTCTCTTGTCTGTGCTATTCTCACTAAAATAATACCTAAGTACTAAGACGACCGTAGTGCGAGTGTGAGTCTTCGATTGGCGCAGTATGGAGGACACAAGACGGCACAGTCTTGTTCGTAATAAAGTTTCCAGTCAGTACGCGGGGCATTCGATATTCTGCCTGTGTCGTTCAATCCAGAATGCTGGACTGAACAACACAAGCAGAATACCGAACACGTGTACTTCTTTACGCAGACCTTTGTTCAGGGGGCTTAGGCTTCGGCAAGCGTCCGACCGCAATTGCACCAGCCTGTAATTGCGCTGACCTCGATCATGTCGTAGAGCGGGCGCGCGACGTCCTTGTAGCGCTCCATGGCGAGCAGCGCGGGCTTGATGTCGTGCAGCAGGTCGATCCCGCGGCGCGCCAGCTCGGCCTGCGGCGCCGTGCGCCACCAGCGCTCCAGCGACACCGCCATCCACGCGCCGTATCCCACCTCGCTGAGCGCCAGACACGCCACGCCGCCCGCATACTAAACGCACTTCTAAAGTTTGTAACTAGCCATAAATCCTTAAGACAAATGGGCCGTGTTCTGCATGAGTCAACCCACAAACTGACAGTTTCGAGATTTTGAGCAGTAAAGATTTTTGGCAACTTTTTATCATTACTCATTTAAATAATGCAGTTTAGAGGCCAATTATATATCTAAAGATTTGTAATGAAGTAAGCATTACGATCAGTTTATTATTGTTTTAAGTTATCAAACTTACAATAAGTAATTAAATAAAAATTGTTTATGCGAAATTCGATAGGAAATGCGCTTATTATATTTGTAGGAAAGGGACATCACTCTGTTGCTCAAAAAAGTTGTTGTTCATTTGCAAACATTTTGTTTTTTTAAACCGACTTCAAAAAGGAGTAGATTCTCAATTCGATTGTATTTATGTTACACGATGACTCCGGCAGCATTTGTGAACCGATTTAAATGGTACTTTTTTATTGGAAAGAGGGTACCTCAGTATTGGCCTCACTTAAATTTGAAGAAAATATTCCAACTCTAAGGGTGGCAAACTAGGGGATCAAGTTTTCACGCATTTTCCGGTAACCCATTTCAATAAAACTTAGCAAATAGATGTAATTCTTTGTTAGTAGGTCGATGTAATTCTACGAACTTTTGAGGTTTGTTCCTTTTTTATAAAAAAGTTGCACTTGTTATTCTTCCGCCATTTTATCCATTCAAAGCGAAACGTAATAAACAAAAGAGTGTCACTAATATATAAATAATTTTGAAAAAAGAATAAATAACGAATGCCTCATGATAGTGGCCCGTATTATTTTTGAATTAAAACAAAGAGATTACTTTTCAGCCGCCCCTCGTGGAGAAACTTGAATAATCCTAAAGCCTCATAAAGCATAACTATAATAAATTTATGTTTATAAACATACATGTGGATGTTCATTTGTAATATGTGCTACTATTTTAAGTAGTACTGTCTGTAAACGTTTTATGGATGTCCGAACCGAAATATGTTTTTTTTTTAATAAAGGGAATTACATGGGAAGCGAATCTTTAGTCAGAATCGTTGGTATGATAGCACAAAAGAATTTCGCTGGTGGATTGCAACCGATATCAATGTTGTTGACATTATCCTATGGTATTGTGTGTGAGTAACAAAGCAAAATAACATTGATATTTAATATCGGTGTTATCTTATCTGGACACTCGGTCGTACTGGTTCAGTCGCAGCCGTTGAGTCATGGTCATTGAATTTTGATATTACAACAAAAGAGTTTTAGAAGAAGTTAGTAATAGGCATTGAAGTACGAAACTGCGTATTCTACATTCTTCTTAACAGAATTCTTTTTTCAATGAATTGTTAAGGTCATTGGTTGTCCAACGAATATCTGTGATTTGAAACAAGATCTTTTGCGGTTTCAACAAGACTGGATTCTGAATATCTTAACGTATCAAAATGTTTTTGTATGACATTCTTACGTATGTAAGAACAATGAAATAGAATCTATTTATATTCTTTACAACCACAATCTGACAAAAGCACGAAATATTACGGATTGGATATCATACGTCACAGCAAATTAATCTGCAGCATCATATCGATCATTACGCTAGTAAGGCTTCTATGTCCCTCCGTTTGGTGACGAGTATGTTCAATGATTTAAGGTCTCTGAAAACAAAGTACTATAACTGCGCCTTTGTGCGCGCATTTATCTCGAGTACGCGTCAATTTAAAGAGACAACGCGAAGTGAATGACGGTTGTCTTGTGTCTTAACTGGTTAATGGCAACATTGACTACCCGGAAAGGCCACATTTACATTGCAGGATTACGTTACGGGTAACGGGGGACTCTATTACTCCACTGACCAAGTGCAAGCAGGTGGTGTTGTGGAGGCGTTGCGGGTGCCGCGAAGCGCGTTGATGCTGGTGCGCGTGCGCCGTAGCTGCCGCAGCGACGTAGACGAGCGCAGCCAACCACAGCCCGGCGGCCAACACGTACGCCGCCGATACACGGTATTGCGCCGCGCACAGAAACCGGAACCACGTGTATGTACTGGGGTCCCACGCTAGCCGCGCCGCCGTCGCCAACAGCGCACCGCTGTACATCTGCAGAGTCACAGATCAATCGAGTGTTACCACTTGATGCGAAGATCAAGAAAATAGGTCAGTGATTTTACGTAACACTTTAATCATTATCTACGGTATTCTGGAAAATAAACGTATTCTATTCTATTCTAAAGACATTTATGAAGGAACATTCAAACTACCGATGCGCATTACCAACCCGCGACTATGAAGCGTGTAACCGTTCCGAAACATCGGGAAGAGAAAACTTCCAAATTATTAATTAATGATAATAATTTAGTGAATAACCACGACAGTTTTAAAATCTCTATGTCGTGCCTAATGTCGACTAAAAGTGTTCCGTTCAAAGTACGAGTGTCGATAGCCGCACAACACAACAGCCAAGCAAGTTACGCCTGTCACTGCTACTGGTGTTTGTATCTGGTCACCTTAAGCAAATTGCTGTAAACCGACAACAGGCGTTCCTTGGCCACTGTCGATACAATGCAGTAGATATAGTTAGCGACACGGTACAGAGCGTACCTGTACGTGCCTCGACGCGAGGACGCTCCCGTTTCAATTTCAACAGCCCGATAACAACACAATGAACTCGCTCACTCACGTCAATAACTTTATTCATTCATTGTAAACAGAATGTTAGGTAATTTACGTCGATTAGCCCATCGCAAGATGGTCAATGCGGTCTCTGTTTGAGTTTCAATAAGCTATCTGGGGGCACGGGTGTGTCCTCACTGGACCGAGCAAACCCGTTCGTACACCATTTTCTTGAACCAACTACGGACGTGTCAGTTCTCCTATCTTTGTCCTGGATTAACAAAATCTCCAAATTTCTATTGTCACAAAATATATGTTATCGGCATTGACCTAATGGTTATCGGCAATGTATATGTAATCCGATGTTCTATACGATGCTTACACACAATACTAGGCAATATATGGAATAAACTCTTACAATCTTAATAAACACTTCCTAGATTTAACTGCCTCCGTGGCCGAACGGTTACCATGCCGGTCTGCCACTCAGAGACCCCAGGTTCGATTCTCGGGTCGGGAGAAATATTCGTATGGCCTACATTTATTTCTCTCGTGAGTTTGGGTGTAAATTGTGGTCGTCTATGTGTGTGTCCATGGCACCCGCGACACAGGGTTTCCCTAGTGCGGGGCTATGTTGAGTGATTGCGTTGTTGTTGTTGTTATAGATATTCGGCAATATATATAATTTGTTAAATATAGGTGCACAAAGCAACGTGATACCTAATAGACAGTGCTTATGTGTTAAGAAGAATATTTTGTGCACGTCCAAGTGTCACAATAGTTCATCTTGTAAGAATAAGTAGGTAATTAGAAGAAAGAAGCAACGAAAACTGAGACACTAAATATTACGGTATACAAATCAAACTTAAGAAATTGTTTAAAAAATTGTTATATTAAGTGATTATCTGATATCTGAAAGTAAATCCAGTATTTTCCCTACTGAGATACGTACATATGTACTTCTATACTAAAAACTTAAACTCAACTTATTGGTAGCAAGCAAACATTTTTTAAGAACATTAGTGTTTCTTTTTTGTTTAAGGTCCAACATTGAATATTTAGCTTTTGTTCACATAACAGTGTCCATAATAAGCATTCAAATAAATAAATAAGGCAAACAAATTCAGTTCTAGCTGCTTTTTCATGAGTAAGTACATGATGATGATGATGATGTAAGGAGATTTTCTTATCTTGGTCAAGTTGGAAGAACTCTATTTCTTCCTCGAGGGTTCTCATTAGGTCGTCCATTATCAGAGTGAACAATCGTGGTGAAAGTGGGCACCCCTGTTTTACTCCTTTTCCTTTCGTTATCCAATTTGTTTGTTGTCCAAACCGTTTAATGCTCGTTATTTCGTTTATGTAGTAGGCCTTCATGATCCTGTTTATTAGGGTTTTAATCCTTCTAGTAAGAAGTATATCCCGGAGTGCGTTTAGCTTTACATAGTCAAAAGCTTTCTCAATGTCCAATGCAAGTATGTACATACATTTGCCTTGCTTCCAAGACTCATCAAGTATTTGCTTGAGTGCAAAAATTTAGTAGTATGTTGATCTATTTTAGAGGAACGCTGCTTGGTAATTTCCTAGTTCCGCTATAGTCGCATCTAGTCTTTGCAATAGGAAGTTTGCAAATATCCTATAGCCCGTGTTGCAAATAGATATTCTTCTGTAATCGTTGATGTTTTTGGGGTGTGAATTTTGGGAATAGGGATTTGTACTGTTCGGATCCGACTTGGTGGCACTATGTTTTGTTTTCAGGCCAAATTCATATATGTGATGATATATTTCTTTAGCTTTAGGGTTTGCCTTAAATAATTACGGTTAGTATTTGATCCATTCCTAGCGCGGTGTCGTTTTTCGTTTTTATGATTACTTCCTGAAATATTTCCTCGTTCATGTCTTCGGCAAGTTCTGATTGGTTTTCAGTTGGAATAGTTGTCACGTGAGGGCCTTCCGATGGGGCTAGTTCCTTTTCCCAATTGGATATTGGCATGAAATGTTGTTCTTGTTTTCGTCTCTCGTTGAGTTTGTATCTCCTGTAATAGTGATAGGTAAATTTTATTCTTTTAGCTGGGTTTCTCGAAGCCCTTGAAAAAAAACATTGACATTCTTAAAAAAAAATTAACTTAAATTAAATTAAATTAACACCCAAAAATTAAAATTAAGAAGGAATTAGAACAAAACAACTCTCTCAATTTCTTAGATTGAACTATAACCAAAGGAGGTACCAAACATGTTTTTAAAATTTACCGTAAGCCTACGCATACAAATACAATTATCCCGGCTTCTTATAGTCACCCCTGGCAACATAAAATGGCTGCTTTCAATTGTTATTGTTGACAGTCCCTCTTTCTAAAAAACATTATAATTTAGAATTAAATATTATCTATCAGATTGCACTTTCTAACGATTACTATAAAACGTTAATTAATAGCTTAGTTCACAAGAAACAGAGGCGGATAGTCAACAACGTGTTGTATACTGCGATTCCTTCACAGCCTATTAATAAATATAAAGTAATCATTACTCATGTTGGCCATTTGTCAGAAAAGATTTATAAAATTATGAAATCAAATCATATAAATGTTGCTTTTAAGACAAATAACACTTTGCGCTCTAGACTTTGCAATGGCAAGGAAAGTGTGGAAAGTGGTAAGAAGTCGGGAGTTTATAAGCTCACCTGTGGCACGTGTAACAATGTACATATAGGTCAAACAGGGCGTAACTTTATAACTAGATACAAAGAGCATGTTTCTTCGTTTAGACATAAGTACCCAGACAGGTCCAATTTCGCTAAACGTTTATTAGAAACAAATCATATTTTACCAGACTTCCATTCTTAGTCTTAATCTTAATCTTACATTTTTGCGAAAAAGGACTACGTCTGGGTGTCATTGAAGAGATAGACATAATTAGGTACAATAACAGGGGTTGTATAATTTAACTCGAGTTAAATAACTCGACTCGCGCATCTGCAACACTCGCGACTCGAACGTGCTCCGAAGGTCACCAACGCGTTGTATGAATGAAGCATTCGGTTCGGCGGCGGGCGTGGCGGATCAACCGAGTTAGCTCGAGTTCATGAAAAAGTAACTCCAGTTGACTCGTTATAGGAGTAACTCGATTTAAATAATTGGACTCGCCCATCGCTAAACTGCACCTCGTACGTTCCAGGTAGCTATTTTTATTTTTTCTAGCGAGACATTTTATTTCAAAGGGCCTGTATTTTGGATAAGTCTGTATTCTGTGTCATCCGGGTGTTCTTCTGGGGTGTTTTCGCTCATGTATTGTGTTGTAGAGTACTCGGAGATCCGACTTCTTACAGGACTATGTAGTGGTTTCTATTGTAGGTAAGGTTGATGCTATCCACTGCATCATTGGTTTTTGGAGTGAAAGTTACTGAAGGTGCTGAAGTGTTGTTTCGTTGACATACATTGACATCTATGTGGCAGAATTCAGCGGCAGCTATAAAAATATCCGTTCCTCCCCACTGTTCATCTTGGTATTGTTGCATAACGTACGTATGGCGTAGGACTTTTTCATTATCTTCACTGTAGCTAAGGTTGCGTGGTGGTCAAAGGTAGTATAGAATAACTCAGTTTCCATCTACTTGCATTTGAACTATTGAGGTATTTATTGGGATGTCCACTATTTACTTAGTTTTATTTTTATGATTGACCTGTGGCAAAAATAGCTTACTCTAGGTTAGGTTAGTACGTAGATTAGATTCCAGTTTTGGTGTTTTTATTCATGATGACTGCGTGCGCGTGCGTTTTTGGGTTGTTAGTAGCAGATGTTTATGACACTATAGCCAGTTTTGGGTTTTTGTCTGAGTTCAGATGGTGGGTCGCTTAGTTCATTGTCGATTCTTTTGTTGTATTTGGAAAATTGTTTGCAGATGTTTGGGTTTCGAAATGCATTAAGGGACCTTTAGGGTAAATTGCATCACTTGTGTTGTGTTACTGTGGTCGGCGCTTTTGGATAATTTGTTTATGATGTAACTTTGCACGTGTAGAGCCTAGTTTTAGTTTTATGAATTTGGGTTTTCCCGGCGTGTACATTGAGATGGAATATTTATTTCTTTATATTTATGTGTTTTGTTTTTGAAGATTTTTTATTGGATGTTTCTAACGTTTAGCTTTATTTTTCTAAGGGAAATATTGTTATTTTTACAGTTGGCATGAAAAGCCGATCTAAGGGGGCAGAGTGTCTATTGTCAGCTATACTTTACTTTTTTAATACCTAGACAGTTTTCCAAATATGTGAAGCAGTGTTTCCAAGCGTGTGATTATAACGCACTGGTTCGGAAATGTATGGGGTAGCAAATAACTTAATTTATAACTAAAAAAACTAAACAAAAAACTAAAAAACAAAAAAAACGAAAAACTAAAAAACTAACGATTGCATAATCTGTACTGACTTGTTATGGTATTATTCATGTAAAAAGAGTGTTTAGACATTAAGGGAATAATATTATTACGTTCATTACG